CTTTCTCAGCAGTCATGTGTTGCACATTATATTTAGGCTGAGTGGTATAGGTTAGCTGAAAAACTGGAAATTTGAAAAGATTATGAAATGAAATTAAAACATTAAAGAATTTTAATACTTTTTTGTCATTGAGGTAATAATTTTATACGTAAAATATCATTATGCTTGAAATATTTGAGACCTGGTAAAGTACACTGAACAGCAAAAAGGTGAAAATGGAGTGTAACTGATTTGCCCTGAAAAATTATTCATTAAGCTTTTGCTGTTATAGTTTGAGTGAATACGATGAATGGGGGCATATGTACTGAAAATTATTTAAGAAATTACATGTAGTTGCAATTGCTATCTCAGCTAAAAATATGAATATCTCTGCAGTATTTTTGTCTCTCTGACATGTTCATCCTCTTCTGGCATTCTGGGGCATGTTTGATGCTGCACTGTTCAGGTGCTTTGCCAGATGACTGAGGCCTGAGTTAGCTGCCACCTTGCTGGCAGCATACATAGAAAAGGAGATAGAAAAAGAATTGGAATGAAAGAATAATTAGACTAATATCAAACAGCAGATAGCTGAAGTATAGCATTTCCCAACTTTTGAATGCAACTCCTTTTTTTCCCCCTCCTATTTTCTCTCTGTCTTTTTAGTTTGGGGTTTGTTGTTAGTCTTTGTTTATAAAACTCTTTTCATAATTGATATCCATTCTAAATGAGAAACCGTAAGAAGACTACAATTTTCTTTTCACATTGTACAAGACTAAAAGAAAATATTGGAAATGGAAATTCACCATTTTTTCTATTTCTTCTTCCTTTTCCTTTATTTCCTGTACTGTTTCCCAAAAATAGAGCAAGGCCTAGGCACATTTGGCTTCAAAGCTTATGAAATTACTTTGCTGTGTGAGCATTTCTAATCTTACTAAAGTGGAAAAAAGAAGGGGTAAACTGGGGAAAAGGAAGCAAGCAGACTTCAGCTTTTGAAGATGTGAGTAATATGTGCATAAGTCATGCTAGCTCTTGAGGTGACTGAATAGGGTATTCACAACTGGTGCTATACTGAAGCCATTCCCTCTGCATTAGGAAGAATAAAAATAGAAAGTCTGTCTGCAGTGTGTGTGTAGGTTAAGATGTACTGATGCAACTGCTGTGTCAATGGTGAAAGTGTGGTGTAGTGCTCTGGCTTTTTGAGAGACAGTCACTGAGACTGGCAGAAGGGGGAGCTTCTGGAGTATAACTCATTTTGATCATTAGTCTCAACTGGTGCTCGTTGCCAGCCGTGCTCCTGGGCTTTTGCAAATCCAGCCTAAGGAGGATAGAAGAACATCTTTAAAGATGTGAGGCTATAACAGCAAGATCCTCAGGGAAGCATTATTGCAAGCTCTGCTGCAGCACAGTGCCTCAGTGAGTATGTTTTCAGTATGACTGTGAGTACAATTACTTGAGTTTTCTTCCTATTTTTCACTTCCATTCATATCTCTTCCTCCCCTTGATAATTAGGCAAATTCAAAGCTAACAACATTTTTATGATATTGCTGCTTCTTAAGGATTTTGTTGCTCAGCTCATAGCTCTTTGAAAGGCTTGTCTTCTGAGCATATCAAAGATCCATAAGGTGAATTCATTGAGTGAGGATTTGCTTGTATTTCTCTGTGGACAATGCTGACCACTCTTTTACCCACATTTTTCATACAGGGAGACAGTATGAAAGGAAACCACACTGGAACATGTGAATTTTCATTCAGTAGTGAATAGATTACATATCGTACAGAGATGGCTTTCGTGAACAGTGGTGTTCAATTCTTGATCAGAGGAATTGGATGAGGACCTGATGTGTCATAGTGGAGGAGACAAAATCAATAGTGCTTCATCATTATGGGAATGGGAGAAGGAGGCAGGTCATCTAGACGTGGAGAATAAGGAACTTGGAAGCTGAGCCAGAAGATTCTGGCTGAGTCACAATAGCAAATTATAACAAAATACACACAGAAGTCCAGAATACCTGATCCTTAATCTCATGTTCTCATTTTTTTAGTTGATTAATTGTGTAATTCTTTGCAGCAGAAGAAAAATAAAAGTCTTTTTATCCCTCACTGGGGTCTAATAAGTTATTCTAAGCTCCTAAAAAATATCTTCTGAGTTTATAGTCATCTTACTTGCTGAAGATTTTTGGCACGGTCCTCAGAATACTTATTTGATCTAAAGCTGAAGTTCTTGTCTAATTCTAAATTTAGTATGCTTCCCATGCCTTGCCAAAATAATTAGGGGAAAGGTAAGAATTGGGTTCAATAACTTCGTGACTTGGGATTTCTAGGAAGAAATGTTTTAAATGTGAACAGTGGTAATTTAACCTCTTAGGGAAATAAGAGATCTCAGAGACCTTGGTTTTAATTTTTACTGTTTCCATAGCAGTTAAAGGCAGTCAAGAGAAATTTTTTGCCATTCCATTTAAACTCATAGCAGAAATCAGCCAATCATCTAATAATTATAAAATTACAAATAATTTAATTATTCCAGATTATTTGCAAACATCTTCACCTCCAGAAGTTATTACTTCATGTATTTACCTCATGAATGATTAAGGTGTCTGAGGCCAAAAGCTGTTGCTGATGCCTTTTATTTATAAACTAACAATGTAAAATTGTAGTTAAAAATATTTTAGTTGACTGAAATTTAGCCTGAAATCAGTTTAAATCAATTTTTTTATTCTTCTAGGTTAAGAAGTAGTTGCTAATATAATTAAATAATTTTATTATCTTATTTATTCCAAGACTTATTCATGCTCAGGTGGGCAAAATGATATAATTTCTCTTACCATAATCTGAATTAATTAAATTCATTAATTACTTTTTTATATATACATATACTTATTTTCTGTTGTTTGAATATTTTTTTTTAGAAAATAGTTTAACATTACTATGAAAATTAAACTGCAATTGAATAGCAATTAAGTTTCTGAACAATGTATTTGAACTTGAGCAAATGTTATAGAAATTAGCAAAAGACTGGGTGAATTAAGGGGAGAAAAGCTACATATCCTGTTTTGTAATTTACAGATATTTTTCCTGCTAACTAGGTCAAAGCAAAAGGAAGGGGCTTTTCTTTTTCTGAATATGCAGGAGAAGACTCTTTAAACATGACAAGATTATTTAAATGTTGAAATGTCCAGGGGGAGAAAAAAAAAGGGGATCTATCAAGTCTGATACTTAGTAGTCACGGATAACATTTCAATATATCACATGGCATGCAGAAATCTGTCATTTTCTTGTATAATTCTTTCTTTTTGGTGTGAGCAAAGTGATCTTCTGTGGTCAGCAAGAAAGATGCCTTGAACTAATAAATTATTTAAAGAATTAACGGCTGAACTCTGATTGAGGGATATGTTGATTAAGCAGTTTTGTTGGCATTGCATTTTAGGTGGTGTAGCCAAGAAACAGAGGCAATCTAACTGTCAATTGTAACAAAATTTATGTCTTGTAAAAGTTTATCTCATGGCTTATCTCCTGTTTTATTCCCTTGAATATATTATATTTTGTCTAATAAAGGTCTAGCAAACTTGGACTAATAATCAGATAATTATCAGATCTTTAGATGTGCAGAAGAAAACCTTAGAAACAACTTCTAACATTTTAATGCATTGTTTATTTTGGAGTGTATTGCCACATTAAATTAAAATTTACAGAGACTTCTAGCCAAATGTGACTTACAGAATCCTTTTAAAATTTCTTCCAGATGTTTAAAAGAAAAAACTTTTAAGTATGTTCAGAAAGCCTGGGAAACTTTACATTTTGAATAAAGTTAATGTTCAATCAGAAATCTCGCATGCAAAAACCAGTAGAAATGTAATTATCAATACTATTTTTATTATGCTAAATTTCACTAAAATGCTTTCTTAACACAGTTTTGGTTTTTGTTTCTTTTTTTCTTTTTAATAACTTTGGCTTTGAATGAGTGGCCTGAAAAAACAGGCTATAGGAACTTATTTAGGTACAACTTGCATTCCCAGCTAGTTTATACTCAAACATAAAATTAACTTTATTACTCCATTTGTTTTTTCTTTTTCAATAGATCTATTTCATCTCTTTATCCATATCATGTAAATCTGAACTTTGGCATCTTTTTACATCTGACATTTTAGAGCTTAAGCAACTTAATATTCTTACTGTGTAGATTTTACTGCAACCTGCGTATGTAACTATTTTTTATAGTCTATTTCTGGCTAAACTTACAAAGCATTGTCATATTTCAAACCACTAAGATTTTCTCCACTTATTTATTATATAACATATGCTTTCCTTTCATTTTCTGGTTGGATAACAAAAGAAAACACTTTGGTCATGAAATCTGGCCCTAAAGGAGGAATAAGTATCTTCTTGCTCTTTATAAGCTTCACTTCTCTGGATTGCTGCTTGTGACACTGCATTTTAGTTTGGAGCACTCCACCACTCTGGAGCTGTATACAGTACAATTTTAAACAGAATAGTTATGAGGGCTTTTTGTTACTATTCTTTTATTGAGAGTTTCTCCATAGAAACAGAGCAGAATTTCTCAAAGACTATAAAAATTTTATGATTCAAAAAACAAGGGCTCATTCCAGGAGTTGACAGCCTAAACTCTGCATTAACTTTGTGTGACGTCTTTGGAAGAAGTTGTTTCGTCTCTTGCTAAGGTCTTGATTTTCTCTTCAGAAAAATTTTATGGGAAATTGATGCTACAACAACAACTCATGGTTTTTTGTTCATACTTCACAGTGCAGCTGGCACATATAATGTATACATACTTTTCTTGAAAATTTTCTTGATCCTAATTAATCAGGTTCTAGAGCACTTTACAATCATTATGTAGAATTATTTTGTATTAAAGACTTATTATCAGATAGATTTCTTATGAATATTTTTTTATTTAACATTTTTTACTTCTAAAACTTCAAGTTTTCAATACACATTGTAATGCCTAAATATTCATGTCCTGCATGTAGCTACAAATTCTTATTGCTCTCTCATCACCTTGGCAGGACGAACTCTGCTGGAAAAACTGTTCAGCCAGCAGGAAAATGCACCACAAGAAGAAGCAGAAAAGCTCTGTTCTCGCATTATTGCAATGGGTCTTTTGCTTCCATTCACTGACTGCTTCAGAGAGCCATGTAACCAGAGTGCCAAGCAAAGCACACCCACATTTGATGTAAGTACTGAAAAAGTTGTCTTTTGTCTCTTTTGTAAAGCAGGACATGATTTTCTAATAGTTTATCTTTCCTGAAAGAATTTGGTTTGTCATTTTAATGAAAATTGCCCTTAGGAGAGTGACCAGCTATTTTTCTCTGCTAAGATATGTGCACTTTTGTATCCACATAAGCATGTTCTCCTAGAACATGATTTCATAACTTTTTAACTCATATCTTAGTCTGTTCTTCATTTCCAGTTTTCATTGTTGTCTTCTTTGAATCCAAGCATTCTGTATGACTACCAAGATTTCCATCAATAGCTGCTTCACCAAAAAATATAAATCAATGGAAAACCAGAAAAACAGCATGTCACAAAAATTCACAGAACTCAAACTAGATGTCTATGCTGGGTTGTTTTGTTTTGTTTTGTTTTTTTTCCCTGAAAATACTTTTAATACAAAATACTGCAGGGGTCAATGCAAATATGCTGGCATTGCAGCTGTGGTGTTATCTGTACCTGTGGGCTATCTGGCCAGGTGTTTGCCTACTGTTACAAACCTGGGTGTAGACATAACCTTACACACTTTTCTTTTCTCTTGGATAATTAATTCAACATTAGGATCTTCTTGTTGTAACCTATGGCACCTAATACCATTTTATGTGGCTAAAGATAATTAGGGTTTTTCTCTCTACTAATTAGCTTCAAAATAGTATACAAATATTAACTAATCTACTTAATGTCTTGCTGATATGTTTAAGATCATCCCTACTCTACACATTACGCTGAAGTTTGGTTACAAACACTCAAAAAAAGATTGGCATAGATATGAGAACATGCTTACTTCTTAACTCTTTAAATCTTTCCTGAAGAATAGTTTAACACAACTGTAAAAGGGATAACTGTGAGAATAAATTTTTTCCACTAAATTCCTATACAAACATTCCTAAATAACCCAGTTAATCTACAAAGTTTTCTAACAATATGTTTATGTTTTGACTTTGGTGTTACTTTTTGTTTTTCTTTAAGATGCAACATTTTTTGACTTTTTTTTAACTGGTTTTTGAAATTATTTGGAAAATGCAGTTTAACTATAAAACTGAGGATACTCAGGCAACTTAAAATCACACAGCATTTGCAAGTGCTCGTGGTTAAATATACTCATAAAAGTTACTAGAAAAGACAAGTTTCTTATTTTTCAGGTTGTTTAAAAGAGTCGGTAATGTTTTCCACTCTCCTGCTGTTACCATATATTCAGCAATTTCCTATAGATGATTCACACCACATTTTTAAAAAGCTTCTCTTGCGTTCTAAATAGATTTTTTTCTCAAATTCGAAGTTTGCAAATAAACAGAAAATACTCTTTTTTTTAAACTGATATACCATGCTTTTTCTGAGTAACAGATACATTAGTTATCTTTTGTTTAACACATCCAAATGGAGGGACATGGTAGTAGCCGAGTGCCACATCAACCATCTGTCAAGGTCAGGAATTTAAGATGTTGCTGGATTAGCAGTGATCTTAATGTGACTCAGTCTATCAGTAAGCCACAAATGTCACAGTTTCTGTGACTGTTTTTCTGTATAAATCCCCTAAATAGATCACACTCCTGGTAAAACAATATCAGAAGTGGTGTACAGCCCTGTTACGTAACCAGTAGTTCATCCTACTTCAAAGGAGCATACAGCTGTCTTGAGCACCAGATCTCCATAATTGAATTCCACGTGGTGCAGAGCTGAGAGCTGCTGATGCAGAGTTTTGGAATATGTTCCTACTCCAGCCTTGGTGCCCAAGGACAGTACAGGAACACCTATCAGTTTATTCATTACATGTTCTCCGAAACAAAAATATCTAGAACTTGCAGTATAAATTGTAATGGCTGAGAACTTGAAAACTGGGCATTGCCTTGCTTCTTAGAGTAAATTTAAAGTATTTTACAGGAATAAATTCTAATTGTTATGTTAGGGAATTAAATAGCTAAAAAATTATGGTGATGCTGAATATTACTTTAAAAAGGACATGTAAGGTTGGTTAGTTGTGTCCTCTCTTGCATCTCTCTCTATGGGTGTACTTTGGGTTTTTTTCCTATTCACATTTTTCCTGTTTGTTTGTTTGCATGTTTTAAATTCATTAGAGCAAATCTTTGATGTTGACCTAACAGCTTATTTTAAAGACTTAGGAATCAGGACTTAATTAAGGACTAGCCTTAATAACTAAATTTTGCCCATCTAGAATTAGGAGGTACATCTTCTTTGACCTTACTCCAAAATTAGGAGCAGAACCAGACCCATATTCTTATTTAATCTCTGAGTTCATCAGACCCCTAGTTCAGTTTTGGATTGCCTCCAGTTCAGCTGATATCCTTGTCACTTAGCTGAAACTGCCCTCAGCAAAGCTCCTGTAGCCCTGTCCTGGTCCCTGCCACCTTGTTGGCCTTCCTTCCTTCCTCTTGAAGGTGCTTCCATGGTGCTTGCCTGTTCCTTACTGTTACTTCTTTGCCTCTCTTGATTTTCATCTTAGTCTGGTGCTTGTAAAGTCTCTTAGGTCACTCTTTCAGAATATTTTTTTTTTTTTTGCAGAATTTCCAATGCATTTTCCACTGAAACCCATCTTTGAATCCTTTTCTCCTTTTGTGACCTACTCCTTGGATTTCTGAACTTTAAAGTATTACTTTTTTTAAATTGAATAAAATCCATGATTCCCTTCTTGCTTTAGTGTGGTCCCACAGACTTGATTTTGTGAAGATGTTAGGTTACAGTTTATGAAAACAATTCAGTAAGTTTTGTTCACTCTATGATCTATTGCTCATGGCTTGAGATGAATATAAACAGATTATTTAAAAGTCCTATTCTCTCCCTCTGATGCTCTTTTCTGGATGACCTCTAGAATTTAATTTAACATGCTTAATGCTGAAATCTCTTGAAATATTTGCAATTGCACATTTTGATTATATTCTTATTTTCTTTATTATTCATGCGTGTTGGTCACCTCTGCTTCTCCCTCTCTTAGAAATGTTTATAAAATCTTGTGTCTGTTTTCTCAGTAATGCAAGAGATCTGGTTTGCTTTTTTAGTCCCAAGATATTCCAGGCTTCAGTGTAGGCTATTAAAAAATAGTACAAGCCCTCTTTTTCATTTCTCTTTGGATACTACTTCTTTCTCTTCCCTTTTGTCTAGCTGCAATTTAACAGTGCATTAAGAGTAAAGACCCCTTCCACAGCTCTTAGTTTCTTGGGCTAGTTTTATAATGGCTCCTAGAATTCAGTTTAATTTAAATTCTTGGCACTTTCTGGTGTACACTATGGTTTGTGGATGTGATGCTTACACCTTTTTTCATATATGGCAAACATGAAGGATCAAAAAATGCTAAACCAGAGCACAAATCTTCAGAGAATCAACAGCTGTCACCACATTTATGCTGAGGATAGTGTCCAGTTTCCAAAGGCTTTTATATTACTCAGGACTTTTTATGATGATTGGAGATGACATGTTCGTGAACTATCTCTGAACTTTTTGTCAAATTAGCCCAAAGGACAGAAATTTTAGAACTGTTTTAAGAACTTATGAGAAAACTTGCATGTTCAATCTTGGCCTGTTTTATCAATTATTTCTTTTGAAACAGCTGATGGCAGTTGCCCAGAATAAAAGATCAGTCTGAAAAATACAAGTTGAACAAAGCTTTAAAAGTAATGTAAAAAGACAAGAACTGGTGTTTTTAAGATTTGGCTATTAAGAAGCAGAGGAAGTTTTTGTTATAGCTCTTCCTACCTACTCCTACAATGTAAAGAGCATCTTAAAGAGTAAGTGAATGTTCAGTGGCAGGTTCTCTGTCTAGACATAGCTCCTTATTGCTAGTTTCCCATTTGCAAGGGAGGCTGCTAATTATTGCTTCATTTATGCCATGACAACTTACTCATCAGGCTATCTTTAGTCTTTCATGCTTCTGCTAGTATTTTATAAAATAAAACCAGAGTTTAACTAAAAAATAAAGTTGAGCAAGTAAACGGGCAACTTAGAAAGATAGATTAGTAAAAGCCTACAGAAAGCGTGTTCTCTGAAAAAATTGCTTGTCTTTTAAATAGCTATTGCCTTTTAAATTTCTCCCTCTTCAGCAGTTGTGTGTTATTCAAGAGGGTTTCTAAAGATTCAAATTAAAACAAAATATCTTCTGAGTGAATGATACGCAAGATATTAATGCCTTGTGAAGAAGTCTTCCATTCATAAACCATAGAATCACGGAATTGTTAAGATTGGCAAAGACTTCTAAGATCATCAGTCCAACCTTTAACCCAGCACCACCATGTTCACCATTAAAGCATATTCCCAATTGCCTCATCCACATTCCTTTTGAACATTACCAGGTATGGCAATTCCACCACTCAACTGGGCAGCCTGTTCAATGCCTGTCTACCTTTTCAATGAAGAAATCTTACCTTATACCCAATCTAAATCTCCCCTGGAGTAGCTTGAGGTTTTTGCCCCTTGTCTTGTCACTTGTCACTGTGAGAGCTGCCTACCTTCCTACATGTAGTGCAGCTGTAGTTTTAAGCTTTTTAGCATGGTACCTCATTATATTATCTTAGTAGAGTAAAATAATCCTGAAATTGACGTGTCTACAGGGTGCATCTTTGGCGCGAATGTAACAACAGGCAAGTTTTTCCTTCCTGTTGGAGGATCACGGTCTTTAATAAGTAGAGGTCTCATCTGCTTGGCTCCTCTCTTAATAATCACCAAAGGTATAAGATAACTATCTTCAGAGAGTCATCAATAATGTGTATAAATTATAAATATTTTCATGAGTATTTAAACTGTTCAAAATAAGGAAGAACCTGGCATTTTCCTGTCAATATGAGGCAGCTTTTTTTATCAGCTCAGTGCTAAGAAATACTGACAGTACTTGATGTTTGAATTTTATCCAGTAGTTGTAATTAACACACACTGTGGATGTGTAGTCCCTACTTATGACTTCCTGTTTCAGATTTTCCAGTTCACGTGGTATAGTTTTAACCTACAGGCAGTTTT